CGAAGGCCCTGGCAGGGAGCCAGGGGGAGAGATTGGAGAGGATGTCCCTGGGGTCACGTGCAACCGCAGCCCAGCCCCCCTGGCTGTGCAGCCGTCTCTGGGAGCTCAGGGACACGGCCCCCACCCCACACTCCAGCAAGGACACCTTCACTTCTGCTGATACACTATTTTTCTTTTTCTTTTTCTTTTCTCTTCTTTTCTTTCCCTTTCTTCTCTTTCTTTCAAATTACTTTTAAAAAATATATATATATATTTCTTTATTGATTTCAGAGAGGAAGGGAGAAGGGGAGAGACAGAAACATCAATGGTGAGAATCATTGATTGGCTGCCTCCAGCAGGTCCCCTACTGGGGATCCAGCCCGCAACCCAGGCATGTGCCCTTGGCCGGATTCGAACCTGGGACCCTTCAGTCCGCAGGCTGACGCTCTATCCACTGAGCCAAACCAGCCAGGGCTCAAATTACATTTTTATTGACTTCAGAGAGGAAAGGAAAGGGAGAGAGAGAGAGAGAAAGATCAAGGATGAGAGAGAATCATGGATCGGCTGCCTCCTGCACAAAGTTTTATTTCATTATCATTTTTCCTTCTTTAATAAAAATTTTTCTACTGTGGACATACCATATTTTTCTGTGTATAAGATGCTATTTTTTTCTAAAATCATTAGACTGAAAATCGAGGGGCATCTTATATATGGAAGTCAGCGAGGAGGGAGCCGAGAGTGCATAGATGCCCATACCTGGTCAAACAGGCTTCCTCCAGTCACGGCCTTATCGTTTCTGACGTCAGCTGATGCCCTCATTGGAGGTGGAGGTGGAGAGTGCGCAGATGCAACAGGGACCGGAGCATTCTGAGCCCATAAAGATGTCAAAAAGTAAAAAGATAAATACCGATAAGCGACTGTCTTACTCTGCAAAATTCAAGCTGGATGCAACCAGCTCTGCAGAAGAGCATGGAAGCAGAGCTTCGGAGAGACCCTGTGGGCCTCCTCCCACTGAGTGTGTGATCAGATAGTGGAGAAAACAGGAAGAACAACTCCAGATGCCAAAAAGGAAGGCCTTCAGAGGAAAACCAGAAAAATGTTTAAAATGTTGATTTCTTAATTTTGGGGTTGGAAAAGTGGGGGCGTCTTATACATGGGGCATCTTTTTTTTATTTTTATTTTTTTTATTAGTTAAGGTATTACAAATGTGTCCTCATCCATGGGGCATCTTATACACGGAAAAATACAGTAATTACAGGTGTCCCCTCCCTCCTTTGGCCTCCTCCCCCTCCCCCTCCCCTGCCTCTCCCTCCCTTGGCCTTCACCAAACTATTGTCCATGCCCACGGGGTATGCATAGATGTTCTTTAGCTAAGCCCTTCACCTCCCTTCCTAATTAATTAATATTTTAATATTTTCTTATTGATTCATTTTAGAGAGAGAGGAAGGGAGAGAGGAACATCGATTTGTTGTTCCACTTTTTTATGCATGCACTGAAAGTTCTCTATTCACTGAACAAGTACCATCTTTTAGCTTTAAATTAAACATAAACAGCTCAGCTGGTTGGAGCATTATCCCGCTAGGCCAAGGTTGCAGGTTCGATCCCTGGGAACCTTGAATGCATAAATAAGTGGAACAACAAATCTCTCTCTCTTTTCCTCCCTTTCTCTAAAACCAATCAATAAATGCAAAGAATTAAAATTTTTTTTATCTGGGTATATATTTCCCCAACTGAAGACTCTATGTCCCCGTCTCCCTTACATATATGTGGCCATGTAACTAAGTTCTGGACAATGGGATCTGCATGGAATGTGTACAATTTCAGGATCACACAGGACAGAGGAAAGGAGGATCCCAGCCCCAACCCCTCCTCTTCCTGCGGCTGCCATGGCAACATGGGGACCCTGATGAAGGTGACAGGGCAAACCAGGTGCATGACTCCTGGAGGCTGTGGAGGCCCCACATCCACCGTGGATTGCCAACGCTTGGCCTTCTGCAAGAGAGAGAAGCGAGTTGTTATCTCGTGTGGGTCTACATTGTGCAATACAGGCCCATGAGGCGGAAGAGGCAAGCAAGCTGCTCTCCGCTAGAGTTTGCAAAGGGAGCGTGTCCCCGCTAACACTTTGCGATTTTTTGTGTATGTTTATATATATATATATGAAATGTTTGTATTGATTTCAGCGAAAGGAAGGGAGAGGAAGCGAGAGAAAATCATGAATTGAAAGAAAATCATGGATCGGCTGCTTCCTGCACACCCCACACTGGGGATCGAGCCCACAAGCCAGGCATGTGCCCCGACTGGGAATTGAACCGTGACCTCCTGATTCATAGGTCGAGACTCAACCACTGAGCTATGCCAGCTGGGCTTAAAATATTTTTTTTTTTTTACTGATTTCAGAGAGGAAGGGAGAGGGAGAGAGAGAAAGGGAAACATCAATGACGAGAGAGAATCATTGATTGGCTGCCTCCTGCACGCCCCAACCCAGGCATGTGCCCTGACCGGGAATCGAGCCATGACCTCCTGGTTCATAGGTCGCAGCTCAACCACTGAGCCACGCCGGCTGGGCCTCACTGACACTTTGATGTCAGACTTCTGGCCTTCAGCACTGTGAGAGAATGTTTTTGGGTTGTTTTTTTTTTTTGTCATTTTAAGCCCTAAGATTGTGAGGGTTTGCTATGGCAGCCCAAGCAAACGAACACAGGCGGACAGCAGTCCGGTCCCACCTTCCCCAGGCGCTGCATTCACTCTCCACCTCTGCTCACAGCTGGCTGTGCAGGGGACTTGATCTTTGAATCCCCCACAGATTCCCTTCCGGTAAATGCATTGGTGACATCATGCAGAAAAGACCTAAAGGGCAGGAAGGAGCAGATAACACACCGGGTATGTCTTATTCTTTTATTTTTTAAACAATATATTGGTATTGATTTCAGAGAGGAAGGGAGAGGGAGAGAGAGAGAAACATCAATGAGGAGAGAGAATCCCTGATCGGCTGCCTCCTGCACGCCCCCTTCTGGGGCTCGAGCCCGGAACCCAAGCACGTACCCGGACCAGGAATCTAACCGTGATCTCCTGGTTCACAGGTCAATGCTCAACCACTGAGCCACACTGGCCGGGCCACTGTATGTCTTATGAACACACACACATGCCAGCCCTGGCCGGGTGGCGGGGTTGGAGCGTCGTCCTGTGCACCAGTCAGGGCACATAGCCAGATTGTGGGTTGCACCCCCAGGTGGGGCATCTGGGAGGCAACCAGAGGAAGTTACTACACCCTGAACCCCTTTGCCGCTAACAAGCGAGATAAAATCTTCACTTCTCAGCCTGCTTTGTTCTCACTTAGGAGGCCCTGGTAAATACTAGACCAGTGGTCGGCGAACCGTGGCTCCCGAGCCACACGCGGCTCTTTGGCCCCCTGAGTGTGGGTCTTCCACAAAATACCGACTTCTGCGCATGGGCCAGGAAGTTTCAATCGCCCGCATGTGCTATTTTGTGGAAGAGCCACACTCAAGGGGCCAAAGAGCCGCATGTGGCTCATGAGCTGCGGTTTGCCGAGCCGCAAGTTTGCCAACCACTGTACTAGGGGGTAGTGGGGAGGGGGAAAAGTAGGTTTGCAGCCCTGGCTGATGTGGCTCGGTGGTTTGAGCCTCCTCCTGTGCAAACAAGAGGTTGCTGGTTCGATTCCTGGGTTGTGGGCTCGATCCCCAGTAGGGGCATGCAGGAGGCAGTCAATCAATGTCCCTCTCCCTCTCCCTTCTCCCCTCTCTAAAATCAATAAAAACATTTAAAACGTTGTAATGCAGGTTTACAGGCGTGCACAAGAGTTTATTCTTGTATTATTACCTATTAATTACAGTATTGTTTTCCATACAAACAACTGTAAACCTACTTTTGTTGTTCTTGGTAAATCCTCATTGGAGGACACTTTTAGAGAGAGTGGAAGGCAGGGAGGAAGAAAGAGAGAGAGAGAAACATCCACGTGAGAAAGACACACCGATTGGCTGCCTCCCGCACATGCCCCAACTGGGGCTGGGGGTAGAACCTGCAACCCAGGTACATGCCCTTGACCAGGAATCGAACCTGCGACCCTTCGGTGTGTGAGCTGAGCCGACGCTCTAACCACTGAGCAACAGGGCCAGGCCTCTCAGCCCACTTCGGCCCCACCCTGTATTTGCTGATGAATGAATGAAACTTCCCAAAGAACCCAGAGGATGGAGAGATCTGTGTGGTAAGGTGCCTTCCAGGGTTCTAGGAGCCCTTATTCTAGCAAACTGTCAAACCTGGGAGGGGTCACGGGAAACCCCAGTCAGAAGCAGGGGCGGCCTGGGACTTGTGATTGGCATCTGAAGTCGGGCGGCGGGGGGGGGGGGCGCGGTGGTTCTGGTGGCACTGAGCCCTCACTTCACCTGCCGGGCCTGACCTGACGCTGACTCCAGGTCGTTAGCCAACCCGGATACAGAACGGACCAGAGTCGGAGAACTGGGTGTTGGTGTGAAACAGAGAGACAAACCCACACACACGCGGTGTCAGGATCGAGAAGCAGCTCATCTGTATCCCAGGGGGACTCTCCCCTCAAAACCTCTATTACACAGAGTGCTGAGCCGTGGGGCAGGTCCGGTGACCGCGCTGTGGCTGTCGGTCAGCATCTCTCCCCAGTGCTCGCTGAAGGGGCAGGCGCATGAACAGTTATTTTATTATTATTAGTTGTTCATCCTCACCCGAGGATATTTTTCCATTGTTGACGTAAAAAAACCATTGAAACCTGTAAAGATTTTTGTGAGTTTATTTGAGCCAAACTGTCGACATATGCCGGAAAGCAGAAGCTCAACGCATTGAGATAATGCTCCGGAGATTGGCAGGTTACATCTGTATTTATACACTGCAATCAAAGGAAAGGGACGCAGGTGGGGTACATGAAATCCATTAGTGATAGACTAGAGAGGCGGGAGAAAGCAAAGCTGGGGCGGGGGGGGGGGGGGGGGACGGACCCCTGGGATTGGATAAAAAGTAAAATAATGGACACATACTTAGGTGGTGCAGGAACAATTAACATGATAATGAAGGAATTTGTGGTCTCAGATGGGCCCCTCCATCTCCTGTGGACAGTGAGTGTTCCTCCCTGGAATAATTGGACCTCTTTTGCTTTCCTAGCCTTGCAACCCTCCTGCCAACAGCAGCGTCTGGGCGCGCCCTCAATGGCCCCATTCACCTCATGCTAATCGACCCGTATGGCTCCTGATCAAGGAACTGGGTTTAGGAGGAAGTCAGTGGGCGGGCGGGCGGGTCCTGTACTCCATCACCCCAAAGCAGCCAGCCTCAGGGAACAGAGGCCCGGCCTGTGTGAGGCCCGGGTACAGTGCCAGGCTGCAGACCACAGCGCTGGGCTGGGTGTTGTCCTCCCCGGACAGACAAACAAGACAGACAGACAGCCGCTCAGGGCCAGGGCCCAGCCACGCTGCCACACTTACCCACATTACCAGGAAGGGACCTGAGGTTTCACTTCTCTCAGGGTCACACCCGATGACTCACTCTGTCAATGTTTGCTTCCTGTTGGTTCCCGCCGCCCTGAACCCTGCGGTTGCAGGTTCGTGCCTAACGGTCAGTGAACACACAGAATAGTGAGGTGTGTGCGTGGGGACCGCCCCTGCACTTTTTGGGGTATCTCAGGAGGGCCACCGAGGGGTAAGGCAAAGAGGGACAGGAAGGAGGGGGTGGGGAGAATGCTGCTTACCCTGGGGGCCAACCAGGGCTGTGACTAGGACTTGGGGCTGTGCCCGGAGAACCTCTAACTGACCCCACGCCCTGACTCCTGTGTGTCCTAATGCGGGGTTCACGGAGACACCCCCCCATCCCTAGGCAGGGAGGGGGATGACAGAGAGGGTTTGTGCCTATCCGTTTGCAGGGGCACAAACCTAGGCATACAGCCCGGCCCGTGTGGCTCAGTGGTTGAGCGTCGACCTATGAACCAGGAGGTCACGGTTTGATTCCCGGCCAGGGCACATGCCCGGGTTGCGGGTTCGATCCCCAGAGTGGGGCGTGCGGGAGGCAGCCGATCAATGATTCTCTCAGCATTGATATCTCTCTCTTTTTCCTCTCTAAAATCAATAAAAATATTTTTTAAAAATATATTTTATTGATTTTTTACAGAGAGGAAAGGAGAGGGATAGAGAGTTAGAAACAGCGATCAGCTGCCCCCTCCACACCCCCTACTGGGGATGTGCCCGCAACCCAGGTACATGCCCTTGACTGGAACCGAACCCGGGACCCTTCAGTCCGCAGGCGGACGCTCTATCCACTGAGCCAAACCAGTTAGGGCTAAAAAAATTTTTTAAATAACTGGGCATACAGGCTCCAATCCCTCTCCCCCCTCTCCTACCCCCCATTTCTGCAGAGCCTGCAGCATCTAGCGCCCCCACCCCCCCAGCCCCACCCATCTCCGTAGGGCACGCAGCCCCGTGGACAGAGCTCCGGGACCCCACCGACCCCTCCCTCCGCCTCTCCCGCCGCTTCCCCTGCGGGGCTCGGCCTCCAAGCCTCCGCCGCCCCGGCCTGGACGGTGCCCAGCGGCCGCGGCCGGGTCAGCGCCCGTCAGCCCAGCGCCGGGAGCATCCGCAGCCGCCGCCAGGCCCCGCCCCGCGGCTGCCGGGAGCCAGGCCGCGCCCGGGACTGCAGCGCGCGGTGAGTGCACGGCCCGCAGGGGGGGACCCGGTCCCCGGTCCCCGCCCCGCCCCGCCCCGCCGACCCCGGGCCCGGCCGCCAGCCCTGCAGCTCCCGGGCTTCCCGGCTCGGTCCACCCGGGTCAGAGCCGCAGAGCCGCCCCTGGATCAGGACCCGCAGCCCCGCCCGCTCCGGGACCGGCCGCCGGTCCCCGGGGCCCCTCCCCTCCTGCAGGGACCTGGATCCCGCGCCCCCAGCCCCCGCGCTCCGTCCGCTCCCGGGCTCCCCCCTACCTCCCCGCCCCCTCCCCGAGGCTGGATCGCGGGCCCAAAATAGCTCAGCCTTCCGGACCCGGGAGGACTCGGAACCGCGTCTGCCCGGGAAGCCCAGGCGTCTGAGCTGCGGCTGCTCCGGAGCCAAGAAGCTGGGCCCCCCGCCTGGGCGTCCCGTGGAGCCCGGGAGGCGAGGCGGCGCCCAGCTCCCACCGCCCACCGCCCTAGGTCCCCGGGATCTGGCTGCCAACACCCCTCCCCCGCTCCCCCGACGGTGCCATCTGGGACCCAGGGCTCCAGCCCTCCCCCCGGTCCTGGCACCGCGAGCCCCAGTGTCAAGAACCATTCGGGGACCCTCGGATCCTGAAGTATAGACATCCAGCCCCTGTTCTTTTGGGGGGACCCAGGAGTTGGGGACCTCAGCCCAGAAACTTCCTGAAGCCTCGGGATCGGCACTGCGTTCGTCCTCCGAGGCCCCAGGAGCCAGAGACCCCAGCCCGCAGATCCCACTCAACCAGCGGTTCTCAACCTCGGCTGCCCATGAGAATCACCTGGGAGTTTTTTTTAAAAAAAAATCCTGATTTCTGGCCCAGGCTGGTTTGGCTCAGTGGATAGAGCCTCGGCCTGCGGACTGAAGGGTCCCGGGTTCGGTTCTGGTCAAGGGCATGTACCTTGGTTGCGGGCACATCCCCAGTAGGGGGCGTGCAGGAGGCAGCTGATCGATGTTTCTCACTCATCGATGTTTCTAACTCTCTATCCCTCTCCCTTCCTCTCTGTAAAAAAATCAATAAAAATATATTAATAAATAAATCAATCAATCCTGATTTCTGGGCCTCATCCTCCGGAAATTCAGTTTCTTTGTTACTCATGCTGTGGCCTCACCCCATCACAAAGAAACAGAATTTTCCGGAGGATGAGGCCCAGAAATCAGGATTTTAAAAAAGATTCCCAGGTGATTCTCATGGGCAGCCGAGGCTGAGAACCGCCGCATTACACTGAGGCCGGGTGGCCATCCGTCCCCGCGGCGTGCGACCCCGATGCCCAAGGTTTCGTCCATTCCTGGGAGGCCGGGCTGGCGCGGGCCGGGGAGGGAGTGGGCAGGGAGGCAGAGGGAGAAGGGCGTGGGGGGAGACTCGGGTGGGGACCTGGGCTGAGGGTCTCGGTGCTAAACAAACCCTAAACAGGCGGGTTGCCATGGCAACGGCCTTCCCGGGCCTCCCCTGGAGACTGTGCGCCGAGGCTGCGTCGGGGGGGGGCAGCCCCCAGGAGCCCCGACTCCGCCAGCTGTTGTGTCTTCCTGTTTTGTCACCATGGCGACGGTGACCTCAGCCCTCCATCCCCCTCCTCCACCTCCCCTCCTCCGGCAGGCGAGGTGCAATGATGCCCCGGGGGCGGGGTCTTGCGTTGGCCCCGCCCCGGGGCGGGGCTGGGGTAGCCCTGGCTTAGGGGAGTCCCGTTCTGCCGCCGGGGCCCCGCGCGCCGACCCCGCCCTCCCTCCGTCCCTCGGCTCCGCCCGCGCTCGCTCCCCACCCACCCGCCATCCCCACCCAGTCCGCAGACCCTTCCAGGCTGCAGCTGTCGCCCCGGCTTCCACTCCGCCGCCGCCGCAAACCTGCGAGGTGAGGCTGCGGTCCAGGATTCTTGGGTGCGAAGGAGACATGGGCTGGGATTCAGGGTGTCTGAGTCCCTAGAAAGACTGGGGCGGAGCCAGATTCGGGTTCTGGAGAGGAGAGGGCTGGACACCTGGACTCCTGGGTCTGAGGGAGGAGGCTGGGGACCTGGACTCCTGGGTCTGAGGGAGGAGGCTGGGGGCCTAGACTCCTGGGTCTGAGGGAGGAGGCTGGGGGCCTAGACTCCTGGGTCTGAGGGAGGAGGGGCTGGGGGACAAGGACTCCTGGGTCTGAGGGAGCAGGGGCTGGGGGCTTGGACTCCTGGGTCTGAGAGGAGGCTGGGGGATCTAGACTCCTGGGTCTGAGGGAGGAGGCTGGGGGACAAGGACCCCTGGGTCTGAGGGAGCAGGGGCTGGGGGCTTGGACTCCTGGGTCTGAGAGGAGGCTGGGGGATCTGGACTCCTGGGTCTGAGGGAGGAGGCTGGGGGACCAGGACTCCTGGGTCTGAGGGAAGAGGGGCTGGGGGCCTAGACTCCTGGGTCTGAGAGAGGAGGCTGGGGACCAGGACTCCTAGGTCTGAGGGAGGAGGCTGGGGACCAGGACTCCTGGGTCTGAGGAAGGAGGCTGGGGACCAGGACTCCTAGGTCTGAGGGATCAGGAGGCTGGGGGCCTGGACTCCTGGGTCTGAGGGAGGAGGCTGGGGACCAGGACTCCTGGGTCTGAGGGCTCAGGGGGCTGGGACTCCTGGGATCCGGTTTGACTGGGCTGGAACCCGGTGCGGGGAAGTGCTCGGGCGGGGAGGAGCTTGGAGCGGGAGTCCTGAGTTCGGGAACGCGTGTGGCTGGGGGTGAGGATGTTGGACCTTCCCGTCCTGGGCACAGAATCGGAACCTGGGGACTGGAGCGGCCAGGCTGAGGTCCGGCACGGGTGCTCCCAGAGCGCGGACGGGGCCGGGCAGCCCGCGCCGGGAGGCCGAGGGGGGACCAGGCTGGGGCCGGCGCCCTGGTGTGGAGAGCACATGCTGGGGTTCGGGCGCCACCCTCTGTCTGCAGAGGGACGGGGTGTGGCGCTCGGCCTGGCGGCGGGAGAGGGCGGGGTGCCTCCGGGGCCGTCCGAGGGGGCATTCCTCTCCCTCCTCCGTCCACGCCTTCCCGAGCTGCGCCTCGGCGACCCTGGAGGTGGCCGCTCTCCACGCGACCTCTGGGGCGCGGAGGCCCGTCCCCTTCCTCCGGGGGGGCCCCGACTTCCTCCTAACGGGCCCGGGAGGGAAGGGCCGGGGGCGGCACCTCCCAGGTGGCCCCGGGGACACCCTGTTTCCCGGAGGAGGTGGAGGTGTGACTCCCTATCTCTGTTCTCCATTCCAAAGCGGGGCGCAACTCCAGGCCTGGAGGCGGGGGTCTCTGCCAGGCAATCCCCGGGTCCGGGTTCCCGTTCACCCCTCTCTTGGAGGCCCTCCTCGGGGACCAGGCGCCCCGCCCATCCTCAGAGGGACCCAGAACTCACAGGGTGAACGTCCCAGAAACGTGGGTCCCAGGCCCTTCCATCTGGGACCTGGAGTCCAGGTTCTCCGCCCTATGTCCCCCTCCCCCCCACCCCTCCCACCGACGAGCGGGGCGGGTCACCCCGGAGGCCGGCGCGGGGCGGGGGTCCCAGCCGCATTCCTGGTGGCCGGGCTGACTTGAGTCCTTATAAGGCCGGAGACGCGGCTCAGACCGGCTGGCCGCCCCGCAGCCTCCGCCCAGGGCCCTCCCCCGACGGGGCGGGGCCGGGCGCACACACGCCCACGCCTCGCGGAGCCCGCACTTTCGCCCAGTGGCCTGGGTTTCCACCCCCGCGATTGGGAGACGGGGTGGGGGTGGGGGTAGAGGGAGGGAGAGGTGGGGCTGCCTCGGCCGGGAGGTGTGGCCGGAGCGGCTGCTGAGTCTCCTAGGGGCGGGGGGAGCCTTCTCGCCCGGGCCGGGCCGGGCTGTCGCCTGGGTCTCCGAGGGCGGAGCTGGGCTGAGCTGGACGCTGACGTCTTCTCTCTCCGTCTCATGCTCTGACGAACCTTTTCCAGGTGTCTGACTTCAGCCGCCTCGGCAGCCAGATCGTTCTCCGTCGGGGTCCTCAGCTAAGACCGCAGGTAAGGGGGCTGGGGGCCTGGGCTCCTGGGTCAGAGGGAGGAGGGACTGGGGCCTGGGCTCCTGGGTCAGAGGGAGGAGGGACTGGGGCCTGGGCTCCTGGGTCTGAGGGAGGAGGCTGGGGGCCTGGGCTCCTGGGTCAGAGGGAGGAGGGGCTGGGGGCCTGGACTCCTGGGTCAGAGGGAGGAGGGGCTGGGGGCCTGGACTCCTGGGTCTGAGGGAGGAGGAGGCTGGGGGCCTGGGCTCCTGGGTCTGAGGGAGGAGGGGCTGGGGGCCTGGACTCCTGGGTCTGAGGGAGGAGGAGGCTGGGGGCCTGGGCTCCTGGGTCTGAGGGAGGAGGGGCTGGGGGCCTGGACTCCTGGGTCTGAGGGAGGAGGCTGGGGGCCTGGGCTCCTGGGTCTGAGGGAGGAGGGGCTGGGGCCTGGGCTCCTGGGTCTGAGGGAGGAGGGAATGGGGGCCTGGACTCCCGGGTCTAAGGGAGGAGGGCCTGGAGGCAGAGTGTCTCTCTGACTCCTAGATCCTGAGAAATATATCTGGGAGCTTGCTCTCCAAGGAGTGGGGCTCCACACGTGTGTATCTGAAGAAGGCGTGTGTGTGGACTGGGCTCCTGTGTCCAGGGGGCGGGGGGTGGGGTGGGGGCTGGAAATTGGGGGAGCTGCTGTGCAGGGGATTGGGCGCCCAGGTGGGTAGAGCCTGCTTTGCTGGCTCTGACCCCAGAAGGGGAAGTTTATTTCCCTGAGGGTGGGAGAGGCCTTCTAAGCTTCTAGGAGCAGCAGCTGATAAGGGAGCCTTTATAGGGCCTGGAGGGCGGGGGAGGAAGCCCAGGTTCCAGCGCAGGTGGCTGGCTGGTGTGCTGGCTGCGGAGGGCTGGGAACCCCGAGGTCTGAAGCTACATAACGCGGAGGCCTGGGGATTGCAGTGGAAGGGCCGGGCCACTGGACAGTTTAGAATCTGGGAGCTGAATTTCTTAAAAAAAAAAAAAAAAAAGTGTTATTTATTAGAGAGAGAGAGAGGGAGAGGGATAGATAGAAACGTCCATCAGCTGCCTCCTGTGCGCCCCCTACTGGGGATCAAGCCCACAACCCGGCTATGTGTCCTGACTGGGAATCCAGCTGTTGACCTCTTGGTTCATGGGCCATCCTTAACCACTGAGCCACACGGGCTGGGCTGGGAGCTGAATTTTCCTGAAGGAGGGGAACTAGCTGGCTGGGGTCCTGAGGGGGTTGGGCTCCATGTGGGGGAGGGGGGCAGGCAAGAGGAAGCTCCACTTCCTTTGGGTTGAAGCTCTCCTGAGGCTCCTGGTCTCTGAGGTGGGGGTGGGGAAGGAGGGGGGCGGTGCTACCCAGAGGCCAGATGTGGTTAGATGTGGGTCCCTGAGGATGCAGGCACTGGGGAGGTCGGACTCCTGAACTTTTGGAGGCCAGAAATATCTAGGTCCCCTTAGGACAGTGGTTCTCAACCTTCCGGCCCCTTAAATACAGTTCCTCATGTGGTGACCCAGCCATACCATTATTTTCGTGGCTGCTTCATCACTGTCATGTTGCTACTGTGATGAATCGTCATGTAAATATCCGATCTGCAGGAGGGTCTTAGGCGACCCCTGTGGAAGGGTCGTTGGACCGCCCAAGGGGTCGCGACCCACTGGTTGAGAACCGCTGCCTTAGGTCAAGAGGAAGTTAGGCACAGAGGCTGGGGTGCAGAGCCCTGGGCGCCCCAAAGCGGGGAAGTTAAGAGAGGGATGGCTGTTAAGAGGTCATAAGAGCATAGCCTCTTGTTCTGACAGGGGTGGTGGGGAGACACGGGAGGGGTTGCTTTAGAGCAAATTTTTAAAAAAAAAATATTTTTATTGATTTCACAGAGGAAGGGAGAGGGAGAGAGAACTAGAAACATCAATGATGAGAGAGAATCATTGATTAACTGCCTCCTGCATGCCCTCCACTGGGGATCAAGCCCACAACCTGGGCATGTGCCCTTGACCAGAATCAAACCTGGGGCCCTTCAGTCTGCAGGCCATTGCTCTGTCCACTGAGCCACACCAGCTAGGGTTTCTTTTTTAATATGGAGAGCACAGTACTCGACAGAGAGAAAGAGCATACTTTTTAAAAATATATACTTTTTATTTTTTAAATTGACTTCAGAGAGAAGAGAGAGGGAGAGATAGAAACATCAATAATGAGAGAAAATTTATCCATCGCTGCCTCCTATACGCCCCCTACTGGGGATCCAGCCTGCAACCCAGGCATGTGCCCTGACTGGAAATCAAACCATGACCTCTTAGATCATGGGTCAACGCTCAACCACTGAGCCACACAGGCTGGGCTAGCGTCCAGTCCTGAATGCTGGGTGGCTGAGTCCCTGGGAGAAGGAGGGCAGCCTTGCGTGTCTGTGGGAAGAAAGCTCTGTGGTTGGTAAATCAGTTAGTTAGACTGTCATCGCGATACGCCAAGGTTGCTGGTTTGCTCCCCAGTCAGGGCACATACAAGACTGAACCAATGGCCCTGACCGGTTTGGCTCAGTGGATAGAGCGTCGGCCTGCGGACCCAAGGGTCCCAGGTTCGATTCCGGTCAAGGGCATGTACCTTGGTTGTGGGCACATCCCCAATAGGGAGTGTGCAGGAGGCAGCTGATCCGATGTTTCTCTCTCATCGATGTTTCTAACTCTCTATCCCTCTCCCTTCCTCTCTGTAAAAAAATCAATAAAAATATATTAAAAAAAAAAAAAGACTGAACCAATGAATGCATGTGAGTGGAACAACAGATTGGTTTCTCTCTCCCTCTCTCCCTTCTTCTCTCTCTCTAAAATCAGTAAATTAGAAAAAGAAAAGAAAAAGCTCTGTGGATTTTTAAATTAATTTATTTATTGAATTTATTGGGTGACATTGGTTGATAAAAGTATAGGTTTCAGGAATACAATGATATATTATCTGTGTACTAGAGGCCCGGTGCACGAATTCGTGCACAGGTGGGGTCCCTCGGCCTGGCCAGTGATTGGGGCAATAGGGGCCATCTTGCCAAGTCCCGATAGGGGCTGATGGAGGCCTGCCAGCCTGGGGGGAGAAACCATGGGAGGTTGGCTGTGGGAGCGCACTGACTGCCAGGGGGCAACTCCTGCATTGAGCGTCTGCCCCCTGATGGTCAGTGCATATCATAGCGACCTGTGGAGCGGTCTTTTGGTCAGCTGGTCGTAATGGCCACTTAGGCCTTTTTGTATATATAGATTGTGTTGTGTGTTTATTACACCCCCCCACATCATTTCCTTCCATTATCATTTATCCACCCTTTACCTTCTCCGACCTTCCCTCCATCCCCCAGAGCTCTGTGCTTTCACAGGGGGTGGGTCCCAGGGAGAGGAAGGGAGTGTCTTTTTTTTTTTTTTTTTTAAATATATTTTATTAATTTTTTACAGAGAGGAAGGGAGAGGGAGAGAGAGTTAGAAACATCGATGAGAGAGAAACATCGATCAGCTGCCTCCTGCACACTCCCTACTGGGGATGTGCCTGCAACCAAGGTACATGCCCTTGACTGGAATCGAACCTGGGACCCTTGAGTCTGCAGGCCGACGCTCTATCCACTGAGCCAAACCAGTCAGGGCAGAAGGGAGTGTCTTGACAAGGAGAGAACTCCTGGGCTCTGACGTGCGAGGTGGGACACCTGCGGCCAGAGGCCAGGAGGAGGCTGCCACCAGGTTCACCAACTGAAAGGCCTGCATCAGGGATACCCCCCAGCTGCAGTCCGGGTTCCTTTGTCCCCCCCCCCCCCCCCCCCCCGCCCGGGGCCGGCAGAGGCCAGGGGCATGAATTCTCCTGGCTGGAACCTGCTTAGGACGCCTTCTGTCCTCCTCGCAGCCATGCCGGTGACGGTGACCCGCACGACCATCACGACCACATCCTCCTCGGCCTCCCCGACCGTCCTGGGGTCGCCTCGGTCGCTGTACCAGCCCCTGGGCCTGCTCCGTCTGCTCCAGCTGCTTTCCACCTGCGTGGCCTTCTCGCTGGTGGCCAGCGTGGACGCCTATGTCGGCTTCTCGGGGAACTGGTGCATGTTCGCCTGGTGCTTCTGCTTCGCCGTGACCTTCATCATCATCGTGGTGGAGCTGGGCGGGCTCCAGGCTCGCTTCCCGCTGTCCTGGCGCAACTTCCCCATCACCTACGCCTGCTACGCCGCCCTCTTCTGCCTCTCGGCCTCCGTCATCTACCCCACCACCTATGTCCAGTTCTTGGGCCACGGCCGCACCAGGGACCACGCCATCGCCGCCACCGCCTTCTCCTGCATCGCGTGCGTGGCGTACGCCACCGAGGTGGCCTGGACCCGGGCCCGGCCCGGCGAGATCACGGGCTACATGGCCACCGTGCCAGGCCTGCTCAAGGTGGTGGAGACCTTCGTGGCCTGCATCATCTTCGCCTTCATCAGCGACCCCTACCTGTACAAGAACAAGCCGGCGCTGGAGTGGTGCGTGGCCGTCTACGCCATCTGCTTCATCCTGGCCGCCGTGGCCATCCTGCTGAACCTGTTCGACTGCACCAACGCGCTGCCCAT